TATTTAGAGTATTATGGGGTTGTTGATATGTTGATCTCTGTATTTGATGATACCGAGAAAGAATTCCAAGTCTAAGGTCAGAAAGAGAGCTCAGCTCATGGAGTATTAGCTCCGAGGTCCAGACCTAGATAAGTGGAGGATAGTTGGCATACATAAGGCATCCTCCCAACAGTAACAAGCTCCAATCTAGGCACAAAATCCTCAAAACACCACAACTGTCGCCTAAAATCAAGCAAGACACCATGGAAGAAAGGCGAGAATCTCACCACAGATCCCATAGAACTAGGAATTATACTATAAATATTGTACAATGCCTCCAATATGGGGCAAGTAACTCTAGTGCTATAAAAAACACTTTGTAGACTCTAATTAAAGTGGATTAGCCGAGCTCTTGAGCGGGTGAACCACTATAAGTTTACTGTGTGAAGTGTCCCTTATTTCCCAAAAGCTAATACACCATTTACACGAGCCCAGTAACTCAGATCCAACTGGGTGAATAAATCTAAACATCATTCCTGCTCATACACATTCATACACCATCAGTTTGGCACCATTTGTTGGAACGACTATTCCTATTATACGTTGGTTTTTATCAATAATTGATGGTCTCTACATGCAATATGAGCAGAAGCCAGATGGATCCCCCATGAATGCAGAACCAACAAGAGGCCACTAGCGGAAGACAACAAGGAAATCTTCAAGATTTCTCTCCCACTATGGAGACTAATCCCCCCACGATAGATCCCCCTATGAACAATGAATTGGAGACTCTTCACCTAGTTAACCAGCGTTTACTCCAACAAAACGAAGAGCTCTTGAAGCTACTCCAAAGTCCTCAACAGACATGACCAGCCCAAGGAGAACCCCCATGAGGAGAACGTTAACAACTCGATCTCCTCAGGGAAGTTAATGAAGGGGTGAAAATAGCTAGGCCATGGGACAGGTCCACCATTCGCCCCCTAGGAACACTGACAATGAAGAGGTGCAAAGTCAGAATGACGGGATCGAGAAAAATGATTTTCTCCCTTTCCAGCAGGAAAAAAAGGAGTAGTACTGGGAGAAGTGCTTTAGAGACTTCCAACAAAAGCTTAGTAAAATGACGGAAGCTGTGAGGGGAAAGTCCCCTGTAATAATGGTTGCCCTGGTGTAGCAGACTGAATCTCCATTCACCGCTAGTGTTCTACATTTCCCCCTCACATCAAAATTTAGAATACCCTAATAGATGCTTTTGATGGAACAAAAGATCCCATGGATCACCTCAATACCTACAAGAACCAGATGGAGTTGCATGGGTATCAGGACCCTGTACGTAGTCGAGCCTTCGCTATCACACTAAAAGGCTCAACATTGGCATGGTTCAACAAGCTAACACCGACCATAATCTCCTCCTTCAAGGAGCTCTCCATATCTTTTGTGTCCCACTTTATAGAAGCTCGAACCTATAGAAAGCTGAGATATCACCTGTTGAATATAAAGCAGGGACCTAATGAGAACATACAGTCTTATGTCCAAAGGTTCAACTCAAAATCCCTGAAGGTAGACGTCCCAAATGAGAAATTCGCTATCACTGCTTTCGTTTCTTATTTAGGTGTACAGTCAAAGGGCCTGATGTTCTCCATATCAAAGAATCCACAAGCAAGCATGGCAAAGGTGCGGGCTAAGGTAGAAAAGTATATAAACGGTGAGGAAGCTCTCCTTGCTAAGGTAGGGAGCTCATCCTCACAGAAGAAAAAAGGGAAGGAAGAAAAGAAAAGGGATCGAAGTCCCAAGAGAGAAAGAGGACAAGATAAGTGATTAACCCTAATTAGTATATAAATTTATATAATAATTAAACTAATTATGTAAGATAAATCAGCTAATAACCATCAATTAGGGTTTGCACAGAAATCAGGGTTTCACATATGTCATGTTTGAATTTTTAGGTTTTTAAAGTAGAATTACTAGAAAATACAAGGAACAAACTATCAAAGCTTGAAAGATCAACGGATCAAAGTGTAATTTACACAAAGGAAGAGTCAACACACCAAAAAGATCACCATCCAGCAAGGCCCCACCATCTGGATGGTGGAGGGGCTTCCGGACGGTGGCCCATGTCAGCTCATCATCATCTCTCCACCTCCTGTTTCCTTCCTTCTATAAATAGGCATGCAAGTCCTTCATTTCAAGAAGGTCGGGTATAGAGATAGCTCCAAAGAGAGAATTCCAAAGAAAGAAAAGAAAGAGAGAAAGACGAAGTTACACATAAATCCGGTCCATCATACACTCCAACTAAAACTCTGTATTTCTACATTTTTATGTTATCTTTCTATTCGGATAGTTGAACTACTGCCACCTTTGTGTCTTAACTAATATTGAGGGTGGTTCTATTTCAGTTGTTCCTTGTGAAATAAGTATCCGAGTCTATATTATAGTTACTGTTGTAATGAAAACTATCTGCACTCCTTTCTTGTCTATAGTAATGGGGTGNCAGTTGTTCCTTGTGAAATAAGTATCCGAGTCTATATTATAGTTACTGTTGTAATGAAAACTATCTGCACTCCTTTCTTGTCTACAGTAATGGGGTGTTGTAGTTACTTATATCCTCTAGTGAGAGGTAAACATATGTATAATATTGGTTAACTTCTGGAAATGTTGATGTTTTATTATGCTATATATACTATATATATTATAAACTTCATGCATGGTACAGTGATGTACGTAAATTTGGTGTTGTGCCGGGAATTATGTTATCAATGCATCATCAACCTGCTGGTTAAATATCTACGGTGTTCCATCGGTATGGCTTGTCCTCCTCCGGAATGCTGAGGATGTTTTACTGATGCATGGTACAAAACCTAAATGATCCTCATGAATGGCTTGTCCTTCTGGGTTATTACGGTTGTTAAACTACTATACATAACTATCAGATTAATGACCTAAGTGATCCTCATCAATGGCTTGTCCTTCTGGATTACTAAGGTCGTTTAACTGGTATACATAATAATATTGCTAGTCAAATATCTACGATATTCCATCGGTATAGCTTGTCCTCAACCAGAACGTTGAGGATGTTCTACTGGTATATATAAAAAGATAACTAATTGAGTAATTCAAGTATTCCTCATGAATGACTTGTCCTTCTGGTTTACTGGAGTTATTCAATTGGCACATCTATAACTAGCTAACCTAAGAAGTTGTTATGCTATGATTTAATACCACCAGCCAACTTAAGAAGTTTTTATGTTATGGTTTATTATATACACACTTACTATCATGGGATCAATTGAGTAATTCAAGTATTCCTCCTAAATGGCTTGTCCTTCTAGTTTGCTTGGATTAATCAATTGTAATGGATACCACCAGCTAACCTAAGAAGTTGTTGTATGATGGTTTATATACATCAGACCTACCGGTTGACTTGCCAATAACATGGAAGTTAATTGCTGTAAGGTAGCATATCCAGTATTTGACCAATATAAAACATATAGGACCCTTAAACTGAAGGATATTGTTTATATCACTATCTTTACACAATCTATCTACAAACATAAGTTTAATTAAGCTGATTATCTATCTAAGCTCACATCATAAGCTATCACATGTTGTCCTATTCGAATTAACAACTTCACTATTTTTATTTTATTTCCTAATTATTAAAACTCTTTGTGGAATCGATACTTGGACTTAAACTGAGAAAATTACAATTCGACCACTTATACTTGGGTATGTAATATTAATCAGATCACAAAATAAGGGCAAATCAAGTTTTTGGCGCCGTTGCTGGGGAGTTATGGTAATTTGAAATTAAAAAAAATAGAAAAGTTGTTTATTTGTATTACATGTATAAAAAAGTGTGTTTTCTTTTTAAAATAGTTAATGTTTGTTCATTCATCAGTAGGTCCTGTAAATCAATCATCTCCTTCGTCTTCGTCATCTTCATCTACATAAGAATTATTTGAATTAAGTATGTCTAGAAACGTGCTTAGGGAAGAACAACCTAGAGAACAGGAAGTAGTTCAAAATATTCGACCTCTAAGAGAATATTTACATCCTACACAAACTAATGTCCCGTCATATTTTGCTTTTCCAACAGATGCTCCAAATCTTAATATTAAGCCAGGAACAATACAATTACTACCACAGTTCCATGGTTTGGAAACTGAAAACCCTTATATATATATATATATATATATATATATATATATATATATATATATGAAAGAATTTGAAGAAGTCTGTGAAACGTTGCAAGATAATTCTGAAAATGGTTAGATTAAAAAATTTTCCTTCTTCTTTGAAAGATAAAGACAATATAGTGGCTTAATCTTTAAGAGCTAATTCTATCACAAATTGGCAAGCTTTGCAAGCTGAGTTCTTTAAAAAAAAAATTACTATGCATCGTACTAATACCCTAAGACGTCAAATAATGAATTTTTCTGTAAAAAAAATGCGAAACTTTTTATCAATTTTGGAAAAGATTTAAAGATCTTCTCCAAGCTTGTCCACATCATGCAATTGAAAATTGGACCTTAATTGGTTTCTTTTCTGATGCTCTTCCACCTGTAATGCGAAAATTTGTTGAAATAATGGCGCAGGGGGAATTCATGAATAAAAATCCTAAATAAGCATACCAATTTGTTGATACTATTTCTGAGTTCCTAGATGTGGAACTCAACTTCTTCAAATATAGTGGAAACTAAACCATCTACATCTGAAAGAGGAAAATATTTATTGAAAGAAAATGATGATTTAAGAGCTAAAATGACTAATTTATCCCCAAAACTAGAAGCCTTAGAAATGAAAAAAAAAAAAAAGTGTATGTTTTGTCAACTACTAATCAAATAAGTGAAATTTGTGCGTTGTGAGGACATCTTGCAGCAGAATGTCCAACTATACCTGCATTCAAAGAAGTTTTAATTGAACAATCTAATGCAATTCTAACTTATAATAAGCCTTAATCTAATACAATCTAAGGCACTGGGCGACGTCTTCTCGGGGTAGACTCTGATAGTTTGGCTTCAATGGAGGGAGGTGTCAATGCTGTAGGTGGCACGAGGAGCACAGTAGGTGGACTTGGAGGTGGTGCCCATGGCTATGCTTTGAAGGCAACGCCCATGGTGCTGGCCTTGTAGGCGGCGCCCATGGCGCTGGTGTTGAAGGCGGTTACATTGTTGGGTCCTCTGTTGAGGGTGTCATGGGCATGGGTAGCATAGGCGACGACGAGGGAGGCATGGGCAACTTCCTAGGCACAAACCAGTCGCAAGGAGGCGCCCATGGTGAGCTTGGTGGCACCAGCGGCAATGGGCTATGCATCCTAGTAAACGGTGGTTACTTGGATGCATTGGGCAATGCTAGTAGAGGTTCAGGCACGTTGGGCAACTCTAGGAAGCACGTGGGTAAGATATTCTTATGAACTTTTGTGGCATACATTCTAAACTTTTCTTTACAGTTTTCATGACATACCTCTAGTATACGATTTAGAAAATCGATTAGGTTTTGGGGGTGTTGCCCCTGACCCCTGCCACTTGACCGGGCAGGTGGAACCCTGTGATCTGACTAGGCAGGTCGATCTCTGAAATCTAGTCGAAACGCATCATGGGCATAGCTGGATACATCTTAGATTGCTAGAGAGTCTTTTTTGGGTTGAAATTGATTGCCTTAACATTGGTTTTGACCTCATCTTGGTTTTGTTTACTGCCAGACAACCATTTAGACGAGCGCATCATAAAGGAGGGTTACTCGAGATATTGGAAGAGGCAAAAAGCCAGCTAGAGACAATGGTTCTAAGGTAACCTTCATATTCAGCTCCATTAATTGTGACGAGGATATTGCTGGTATTATATCTTCGTACCACATCTCTCTTGCAGTAATGTGTCGTTGCGCAAAAGAGGATAAGCCAACATGTTGCGACTCTTCGGGCAAGATTGCCCTTTATGAGGATGTGTTGGAGGCGGTCTTGAGGTTCCCGATACATGGGCCCATATGTCGAGTTCTGGGGCACCTGTCGCTGGCTACCGGGAGATTGGCTCCTAATGGATGGAGGGTGATACTGTCATTCATTTCATTATGGCAGCTGGTTCACAGTGCTGATGTCCTTCTGCCATTAGAGAAGTTCTTGGCCACGTATGTGCTCTTAGAGAACCCCATCCCTCATGACGGGTGGTACCAATTTTCCCTAAGGTCGGGTAAGTTTATCACTGGGCTTCCTTCGAACTGTCATAGTTGGAAGACCAAGTTCTTCTTTGTTAGAGGAGAGTGGGCTAGTGAGAGTGATCGTGACCTGGTGCCTTCAAGGTGGGACACTGTCCCCAAGACTAAGCTAGGTAAGGACTCCACTTTTGACTTTATTTCTAGTTGTCACACATTGTTCTTACTATGTCATTGGCTTCTTTGCAGCTTCACCGACATTATCCACGGAGCAAGAGGGTAAACTCTAGATGGTATGCGACCATCCGTTCAAGGAGTTCTCAGGGATCATGTCTGCATCCAGTCATTCCAAGGCTTCTCCTAGGCCAAAGAGGAAAGGTATTTGACTTTTCCCGTAGACTCTTTATGGTTACATCATTTTAGGCTTTTTATTTCACACTGATTATGCAAGTACCTCCATTGACAGGGCGGTGGTGGAGGCTGTCTATACTTCTAGGGTGGCATCTTCTCCTCCTTCTTTGAAGAGGTTGAAGTTTGATGCCCCTAGTGTTTCTCAGCTGAGGTCTACCGACCAAGCTAGTTCCCAAGAGGTGAAACCTGATGGTGCCCCCCGTTCTTCCCTGATTGTTGTTCTTTCACCCTTAGAGATAGCCCCAATACTATTGTGGGGGCTAAGGCCCTAGTGTGGTCTCTCACTAGGATGAGGCTTTACCTAGTCGTCCTTCTTCGAGTAGTAGTTTAGTATCCATGCTGCAGGATGTGAAACTAGCTAATAAGCGGCTTTGGGGGTTTGTGACTCGTGCAAAGATTGAGGAGGTTGCCTCTCGAGGTCCGTAGGGCATTGTGGACACTACCATGGAGGGCTTTGCTTTGGTATGTCCTTTATCCTTCTTTGGTTTCGTACCTGACTCATTTCTTTCATATTCGATCTTTTGAATGTTTGTAGGTGGCTACTGTTTTCACCTGCTTGCTTTCAAGTACGTTGAAGATTAGGGAGGTGCTTGACAGCTAGGCAGCGGAGAGGCATGCACGCAAGGCTGCTGAAGAGCAGTTGGGGCTCGAGCGGCAGGCACGAGAGGAAGCCGAGGAGTAACCGAGACTAACCCACAAGAGATCTGCCACACTTGAGACCGAGCTTCGGGCATCCCACAAGAGGACCGCCCAACTAGAGGTTGACAGAGAGGTTGCAACGACAGAGCTGCGAGCGTCCCGCTAGAGGGCCGCTGTGTCAGAGGCTGACTTCGAGCAGCTCTTGAGAGAGCCGCTAGGGTAGAGGCTTACTCTATAGAGATGGAGAAGAATAGGGGTGCTATTGAGAGGGTCGTGGCAGACACCTTTATTGATGGCTACGAGGAGCTCAGGGGGAAAGTCTCAGCAGCTTTTCTTGCTTATGACTTTTCTGGCTTCGTCCCTTATGAGGCTCAAGGGACTGATGAGGAAGACGCAAGCGATAATGGGAATGGAGGCAGTGAGTGTCGTTAGGAGCATGGTACCTTTATATTTACATTTTTGTTGATAGGTCATGTTCTATCTTTTTGTAAAAGCTTCATGAACTTTTATAAAATACAACTTTTTTTGAAAAAAGATTGCAAAATTTTATTTCATAATCCGAAGTAAATATTAAAGGAACTGATCAAAACAGAAATAGATAATCTAGATGGTGACCACTGACTTACACATTCACTGCCTTGCCCCCAGCTACTAGTAATATTTTTTTAGATGCTCTGCGTTCCATGGATGGGTCAGAACTTTTCCTTCAAAATTCTGAATTCTGTAGGTGCCCGGTCTTACAACTTCCGTGACGGTGTAGGGTCTTTCCTAGTTTTCCTTCCCGGGAGTCTTTAGTGGACAAGATGACCTTTTTGAGGACTAGGTCTCCAAGTAAGAAGGAGCGAGGCTTCACCCTCGAGTTGTATTATTTGGTCATGTGATTCTTGTACTTTGCATTCCTAAGCATGGTTATCTCTTTCTCCTCCTCTACTAAGTCAAGGTTGATGCAGAGGCCTTCATTACTTGTAGAGTTATGGTGTTGGACCCTAAGGAAGTGTACCCCAATTTCAATGAGTATAACCGCCTCCGTCCCGTAGGCTAGAGAAAAATCGGTCTCCCCCATGGGGCTCCTTGGGGTCGTTTGGTAGGCCTACAACATTCCCGGTAGTTTGTCTACCCATCGTCCTTTTGCACTCTCCAATCTGGCTTTCAAATTGCGGAGTATGGTCCTGATGGTGATCTCTGCTTGTCTGTTTGCCAGCGGATGGGCAGGGCTGGAGTAAGGTTACTTGATCTGTAGGTAGGCACAAAAGCTATTAAGTAGTTTGTTCTTAGACTGTTTGGCATTGTCACTTACAATGGCGTGACGTATTCTGAAGCAGCAGACTAAACTCTTCCGAATGAAGTTTTTTATCTTTTGTTCTGTTATCCTGGCTACGGCCTTAGCTTTTGCCCGCTTAGTAAAGTAGTCAATGGATATCACTACGAACTTGCACTGGCCCCTGACTCACAGGTAGGGGACCTAGGATGTCGAACCCCCACATGGAGAAGGGTCATGGGCTCTCAATGGTGGCTAGCTCTTTGAGTGGTTGTCTAGGCACAATCGCAAACAAACTCGCGAGTGTTTTGCTTGTTGGAACTTGTCACATCTCCTAACAAACTCGTGGGTGCCTCTGATCATGGTAGGCCAGTAATAGCCTTACCTAACTGCTTTGTGGGTTAGTGAACGTCCATTTAAGTGATGTCCATTATTCCCTCGTGGATTTTCCTCATTGCGTAATCGGCTTTCTCGGGGGTAAGACAACGAAATAGTGGTAGGGAATAACTTTTTTCGTAGAGGGTGTTTTGCAAGATGACATACCTGGAAGCTCTCATTCTCAACTTTCTGGCCTCCATTGGGTTGTTTATGAGAGCGCCCTTCTCTAGGTAAGCTCGGATGGGAGTCATCCAGTTGGCTTTTAAGGATGCACAATTGACATCGTCCTCCTCTGTCTTGGAGGTGCTTGGTTCGAACTGGTAGCCTATCAGTGCCAGGCCCATGAGTATCTTGGCAGATGCGAATTTGGTGAGGGTGTCTGCCATGGCGTTCTCCTCTTGAGGCACATGGTGGATTTGGAACCAAACAAACTTTTTTAGCATATCTTAGACTACGAAGAGGTATTCTTGCATTTTTTTTCCTCCTTTGCCTCAAAGTTTCCCTTTATTTGGTTAACTATAAGCTAGGAGTCACTGTAGGCTATCAAGTAGACGACCTCCATCCCCAACGCAAGCTTCAAGCCTGATATGAGTGCCTCATATTTAGCTTGATTGTTTGATGTGGCAAAGTGGAGAGAGACAACGTACTTCAGCAGAGTGCCATGGGGGCTAATTAGCAGTCAAGTATGTGAAGAGGTGTAATTAATAGACAGTAAATAAAATAATCAATGACAAAATAGTAAATATAAAATTAACACATAGATATATAGTGGTTCGGTCTGGGTGACTTNAAGGAAGTGTACCCCAATTTCAATGAGTATAACCGCCTCCGTCCCGTAGGCTAGAGAAAAATCGGTCTCCCCCATGGGGCTCCTTGGGGTCGTTTGGTAGGCCTACAACATTCCCGGTAGTTTGTCTACCCATCGTCCTTTTGCACTCTCCAATCTGGCTTTCAAATTGCGGAGTATGGTCCTGATGGTGATCTCTGCTTGTCTGTTTGCCAGCGGATGGGCAGGGCTGGAGTAAGGTTACTTGATCTGTAGGTAGGCACAAAAGCTATTAAGTAGTTTGTTCTTAGACTGTTTGGCATTGTCACTTACAATGGCGTGACGTATTCTGAAGCAGCAGACTAAACTCTTCCGAATGAAGTTTTTTATCTTTTGTTCTGTTATCCTGGCTACGGCCTTAGCTTTTGCCCGCTTAGTAAAGTAGTCAATGGATATCACTACGAACTTGCACTGGCCCCTGACTCACAGGTAGGGGACCTAGGATGTCGAACCCCCACATGGAGAAGGGTCATGGGCTCTCAATGGTGGCTAGCTCTTTGAGTGGTTGTCTAGGCACAATCGCAAACAAACTCGCGAGTGTTTTGCTTGTTGGAACTTGTCACATCTCCTAACAAACTCGTGGGTGCCTCTGATCATGGTAGGCCAGTAATAGCCTTACCTAACTGCTTTGTGGGTTAGTGAACGTCCATTTAAGTGATGTCCATTATTCCCTCGTGGATTTTCCTCATTGCGTAATCGGCTTTCTCGGGGGTAAGACAACGAAATAGTGGTAGGGAATAACTTTTTTCGTAGAGGGTGTTTTGCAAGATGACATACCTGGAAGCTCTCATTCTCAACTTTCTGGCCTCCATTGGGTTGTTTATGAGAGCGCCCTTCTCTAGGTAAGCTCGGATGGGAGTCATCCAGTTGGCTTTTAAGGATGCACAATTGACATCGTCCTCCTCTGTCTTGGAGGTGCTTGGTTCGAACTGGTAGCCTATCAGTGCCAGGCCCATGAGTATCTTGGCAGATGCGAATTTGGTGAGGGTGTCTGCCATGGCGTTCTCCTCTTGAGGCACATGGTGGATTTGGAACCAAACAAACTTTTTTAGCATATCTTAGACTACGAAGAGGTATTCTTGCATTTTTTTTCCTCCTTTGCCTCAAAGTTTCCCTTTATTTGGTTAACTATAAGCTAGGAGTCACTGTAGGCTATCAAGTAGACGACCTCCATCCCCAACGCAAGCTTCAAGCCTGATATGAGTGCCTCATATTTAGCTTGATTGTTTGATGTGGCAAAGTGGAGAGAGACAACGTACTTCAGCAGAGTGCCATGGGGGCTAATTAGCAGTCAAGTATGTGAAGAGGTGTAATTAATAGACAGTAAATAAAATAATCAATGACAAAATAGTAAATATAAAATTAACACATAGATATATAGTGGTTCGGTCTGGGTGACTTATGACTTGATCCAAAATGTGTACACCCAAGTGCAGGCGGTCAAGCTGTAGTAATAATCCAGTTAAGTCCGAAGTTGAATTCACAGGGAACTATGATTGGTGTTTTGAAGTAAGCAATGATAGAGACCAAGTAACTGAAAACCTTGAGAGTTTGAAGTTATGAGATTTCCTGAATAGAATATACGATTTTTTCCAAGAGTTTTCTAGACAAAATATAAGATAAATTCAAATGTAAACATTCACTCTTTAGTTTGAGGATCATAACATGTAATTAATCATCCAGTTTATTATACTTGTGCTTTTATAACTCAATTAGCTCCTGTGTCAATAGCAAGTTAATCGGAAGATAAAAATGAACTGTGAGAAGTAACCATATGGTTCTGATGCCTTTTTAGAAGTTTACAAGAATTGTCTATGCCGAGACTCAACTTGTCTATAAACAAGCAAGTGTTTCTACAAGGCATCCAACCATGGCATTAATATTTCATTCTTTAGATAAAGCACAATAATGGTGAAGATTGAAATGTTGTCACGAGGATCTAGTCGGGGTACTTGTCTTGAACCAATGAGTCTTTCTATGCAAAAGTCATCCATGACATAGAAAGAACCAACGGTTATACAAAGTACCTTATATTTGCTAGATGCATTCAATAGTTTACTAAGCAAGTGGAATATAAAGCATTAAAACATAAAGGAAATGCACAAATATAGCTTTCAGAAAATTTATACATATTTATCACCTCTTACTAAAGAGTGAAATGAGGAACAACTCACTCTTCATGGCTTTGGTAAAGCTAGAAAAATGAGTGATACTCATCCCTCCAAGTAGAAGAGTTACAATGTAAAATCACAATAAACAAAGAGCTGATTTTCAACGAAGAATGAGTGAATCACGTCTCACCCTTCACGGCTTTGGTGAAGCTCTAGAAAAGTGGAAGAGTTTCACTTCTCCGAGAAAGAAGGAAACTCAAGCAATGGAAGTGAAAGAAATAAACAATAAAAGTAGAATGAAACTAGTTACTTTTTTAGGGTTGCTTCCTCAACCAACAAATGGAGAGTTGCTTCCTCAGCCAAAATATGGAGGGTTACTTCCTTAACCAAAAAATGAACTAGCTCCCTTGATACAAGCAAATATAACATACATCTAACTACATGAGTGGGAGTCTAAGACCTTATCTAGCTCTCTACTAGTTCTTGGTGTAGTTTAAGCCTTATAAACCAAGTTCTGGTCTTCTACCACAAAACATCCTCCCTTAAAGGCTCCTCCAAGGGGAGTATTTATAGGTAAGGAGGAAAAGGGGGGAGACAAGAGAGTGTGAAGGAATAGTGTATGCCGTCCAAGTCGAAGTAAAAAGCCAACTACTCTGCAGTCTGCCTATGGAGAACGTTCAAACGTGAGTTGGTATTCAAATGTTGTATCTATTTTTCCTTTATGGGCATTTGAACATTGTATGGCGTTCGAACATTTCTTCTGTCTTTGCTTTATGGCGTTCGAACGCCAAATGGGGCTTGACCTTCTCACTTAGGTGACCTGTGGTCTTTTGTGAAAATCTATTTCTAANGTGTACACCCAAGTGCAGGCGGTCAAGCTGTAGTAATAATCCAGTTAAGTCCGAAGTTGAATTCACAGGGAACTATGATTGGTGTTTTGAAGTAAGCAATGATAGAGACCAAGTAACTGAAAACCTTGAGAGTTTGAAGTTATGAGATTTCCTGAATAGAATATACGATTTTTTCCAAGAGTTTTCTAGACAAAATATAAGATAAATTCAAATGTAAACATTCACTCTTTAGTTTGAGGATCATAACATGTAATTAATCATCCAGTTTATTATACTTGTGCTTTTATAACTCAATTAGCTCCTGTGTCAATAGCAAGTTAATCGGAAGATAAAAATGAACTGTGAGAAGTAACCATATGGTTCTGATGCCTTTTTAGAAGTTTACAAGAATTGTCTATGCCGAGACTCAACTTGTCTATAAACAAGCAAGTGTTTCTACAAGGCATCCAACCATGNCATGCACATCTTGGCGCTTTGCACTCATCAGTCTAGTCTTCAATCAATTCAAGTGGAAGTTCAAACGTGAGTTGGCGTTCGAACGTGGTACTCAAGTACCTCAGAGTCTTCCTTTTTGGCTGCAACACGCCATGTCTCAGCAGTCTGGTCTTCAATCACTCAAGTGGATTTTCGAACGTGAATTGGTGTTCGAACATTCTTAGCTTAGTCCAAGCTTTTCCAATTTTTCTCCAGAATTTCCTGGTGTTGCATGAAAATTTGATACTCATTGTCTTTAGTCCCTTGTACAATTTATCGCCTGAAATGTTATCATTTAAACTCCATCAAAGTATAATTAGTCTTAAAAGAACATAGTAATATGCTAATTTTAACTACTAATCAACTTATTCCACTCTCGAAAAACGAAAGCGGTGGCCAGATGTCTTTATTGATGAATAAAGTAACGGAGAGAGAGAGAGCTCTAGAAGAGGTACAATAGCTAGGAGAGAGAAGTTATGTGTGTAGGTGTAGAGAGGTGTATTGGGAGATGTGTTCCTCCATGTAGAGAGTGCTTACAATATATAAGCATAGTCAGGCAGTGAGATGAGGCGGTGACGTGAGTGTGAAGGCACTACGTCCTCAGGGAGAATATTTACAAAAGATAAGTACAATTAAGGTAGGACTAATCCTCATGAGTGCGTATTTCGATAATCTCTCTCTCATGTGCTCTTATCTTCTCAGGCTTCTTGGATCTTAGATTGGGTTGGTTTGACGAAGTGGACTTGAGCTGCCTTTTAACTAACTTGGGTTCCCTTGATTTAATGGGCCCGACTGACCCAGTTAGATCTGGGCTCATCAAAGAGAAACCCCAATTTACCTATGGTAAAATATGTTCATTGAATCTTTAAAAGAGGGTATAATTTTACTATTAAATATTTAGGTTTAAAAAAAAGTCTCTATTGATTTGAGTTTAAAAAAGTGTCTCCCTTGATTTGGGCTTAAAAAAGGGTTTCCCTTCATTTGATATGAGTATGAGTTTAGAATTAGAAAAATATTTTCAACTAATTTTACTCATATTTAAATTTAAGTATAAAAAAGAGTAAGATTTGGAGATGCACTAAACAATGTTATTTAGACTCTAAAAATTGACACATTTAGTTAACTTTATCAATCAGTGTCAATATTTTAACTATGAGTTTTAATATTTATTAGGATAATGATTTTAATCGACAAAATGCATAAATAGTATCAACTTTTGGAGTCCACTTAACATTTACCCCTCCCCTGTTTTTTAAACATTTAAAAGTCAACAAAACCTTGGGCTTCTGGTATGCCCGCCCTCTGGAGTGTGATAAACAAAACCACCATTAAAATTTGTAGAATAAAATTAGCAAATAAATAAATAGTATCCACGTTACCTCCTTTGAATGTCAGATTGTCCTCACCAACTGGGTGTTACTTTAAAGAGCTGATGTATAATTCTGGATCCAAAATTCTTGAAAAATCATTGCATGTCTTCAAATCCAATTTTTTTGATATTGTATTAGCTGCAGAACCTCATCCTTCGGTTTCTGCAACTCTCTCTCTCTCTCCTTCCCTCCGGATTCTGAAGGTGGTGGTTGGTGGGTGGGTGAATTATGGCAGGTGGAAGCAGTGGAACGACGAGGGAGCTTGATCAGACACCCACATGGGCCGTGGCGAGTGTCTGTGCAGTCATCATCCTAATTTCCATTGCCTTGGAGAAGATTCTTCACAAAGTTGGACATGTACGGTATTTATAGGCTTCAACTGTATTTATTATGAATTGAATAATGAAGTATATTTGCTGCTGTTTTTGCTTTCTCTTGATTGCAGTTTATAAATATCATGGGTTTATTTTCATTTTGGCGGAAAGTTTATGGAAAGCAGTAGCTGAAAGTTTGATTATTTTTTGGTGCCTTTTCATTCTTTGGTTTGATTATTTTGACGTTCCCTTTTTTAAATTTTTTTGAATTTTTCGTATGTTGTTCTTCTGTTTGCCTTTTCAACTTTCGTATCTTGTCTTCTATTCATCTGTTTTCTTGGTTTGTTATGTTGGTAAAGTCCTTGTTTTCAGTTTTATTTCCATTATTTTCCTCCTAGTTTCTGGTGTTATTAGTTCAAGTTGCTTAAGTTAATAGAAATGTTGATTTATTTCTTTTTAATTTTTTGTTTCCTTACCCATTTTTTTTTTGCTTCCTTAAGTGTTCTGATTAAGTTAGAACTTATTGCCGACATACAATTTTTATGCAGTTGTTAACAGAAAGGCACAAGAGAGCTCTATTTGAGGCTTTGGAGAAGGTTAAAGCTGGTAAAAAAAAAAAAAATTCGTTTGTGCCCTTTTCTTTTTCTTTATTTCTGCTCCAGCCCAATACGAAAATATTTTGATCCTTCATTGAATTCCATTGGATTATTGCAGAGTTGATGATTCTGGGTTTTATTTCACTACTACTGACATTTAGTCAGTATTACATCGCCAAAATTTGTATTCCGGTTAAAGTTGCTGACTCTATGTTACCATGTCCTGCGCATGACAAAGCTGCCGCCAAAGAAGAGGCCAAAGAAGAGGAAAATCGCCGGAGGCTTTTGTGGTATGAGCATAGATTATTAGCCGCTGGTGAAGACCCTTCTGGTTGCAAAGAGGTGAGTGTACCTACTGGCAGCTTGCATATTGGAAATAAACTTTTAATGGATATGCTATGGTTGTGCTGGTGACAAAAAATGACAATAAAGATGATAATTTTATGGGCATCACTGCTATCTTGTTCATCCATATGATGTCGAGCAAAAGGCACATCTTTGTTGTTGATTGGATTGATTATATTTTTTAATCTCCAATTAAAGTGACGTGTTTGTGAAATACTTCATCATATAGGCTCCATAGCAATAAAATATGTGTACCAATTCTTGAATACGGCCTTGCTAATAAACTTCAGTGCACTTGTAGTTTTAAGTTTTAACTGATTTAAGTTTTTGAAAATGACAATGCTGGAATTTGACTTTGATTGAGTGCCTGATTGAATTTAGGCAAAAGGTTTCCATCAGTTTACAGTTTACAAGGCCTGCAAAATGCAATATATATATATATATATATGCAAATTTTGAACATACTTTACTCAACAAGTCCAAGTCCAAGCACCAAGTCCAAAAGGGCCTGAATGCAATATAGTTCATCTGATAGATTAGTTTTGATGATATCAATTTTGGCTAGTTTTCTAAAAATTTACTGGATGCAAGATTGGTTATTCATATGCAATTAGCTTTTGAAATTTCAAAACAAAAATGCAAGAATTAAAATTTGGATTTGCTTTGGGAAATGAAGAATTAATTGACTTGTAAACTTACCCATTTAGCTATCCGCTTGTTTCCTGATATCTCGAACTTAATTAACAACTTCCATTCGCAAAGGGATGTAAACTTTTCAACAGTGGCTGCAGTGAGGAAATCGTAGGCAATTTGTTTCACCTGCTTGCAAGTAGTGATGGACCCAACATGCATTTACAAGCTGATTAGTGTACACATGTTAACTGTCCTTTGATACTTTCAGCCTTTTTTGGTAAAAGCTACACATATGTGCGCTAGGGATGGATCGACAGATATTTGCTAGGTTGTATGGTATTCTCTGGTAATTTTGTTGTTGTTAATGAAATTAAATGAAGGATTAACACTGAATCAGAAATTTGGAGAGAAGCAATTGAATCAGAAAGGTCTAAAATGAGTAAGTATTAGAATGTAATTTTGGTAACCGCAAAAGTAGAAACAGAAAGTGAAGATAGAAATCAAAAGATACTACTGAGTGATTAGCATCGTTATGTAGGCGTGATTGTTAATACTTAATGGGGAGAGAGAGAAATTGAAGAATATGTGACTCACAAAGTCAAAAGTAACTTGGTTTGAGTGGAGTGTATCTTCCATATTATGTGATTGACAGAGACTAGTGAATTTGAAGGAGAAATCTCATATGATGGGTTATGAAGCCCACCATATTTCACGAGACTGTTTTTTGAAAATATAGATGTATAATATTTGCATTAAGGCTACAAGAGCATGCTCTGATTATCAGTACTCGACACTACATTCTAAGAGAATAAAGTAATTTAACAACCCAAGAACCTAGGTACTTTCCTTGCATATCCCAATGGACCAACCTTGAAGATTAGACAATAAAAACAAAACAACAACAGTGCGATCCCTCATATCTTGAGGGAATAGGTATCCACCGACTTGATCCGATATGTGTACACCCAAGTATAGGCGGTCAAGTTGTAGTAATAATCCGGTTAAGTCCGGAGTCGAATCCACATGGAACTATTGTTGGTGTTTTGAAGTAAGCAGTGACAGAAACTATGTGATTGTAACCTTTGAGATTTATAGTGACAATGTTTAGAGATTTTCCTGGGCCAAATATATCATTTTTTCCAAGAAAAAATATAAGATAAGTTCAAATGTAAACAATTGCCGTTTAGCTCGAGGATCTGAACGTGTAGTTAATCATCCGGTTTATTATACTTGTTCTTGGTAGCTCAATTAACTCCCGTATCAATAACAAGTTAATCAGAAGATAAAGGTGGATTGTGATAATTAAGCGTATGATTCCGATGCCTTTCTAGAAGTTTACAAGAATTGTCTGTGCCGAAACTCAACCCGTCTATAAACAAACAAATGTTTCTACAAGGCATCCAACCATGACATTAATATTTCATCATTTAAATGAAGTTCAATAATGGTGAAGATTGAAGGGTAGTCATGAAGATCTAGTCGGAGTACTTGTCTTGAACCAAAGAGTTTTTCTATGCAAGAGTCATCTATGTTATAGAAAGTACTCACGGTTATACAAAATACCTTAAGTTTGCTAGATGCAGTCAATCATTCAATAAGCAAGTGAAATATAAAACATTTAAGCATCAATGAAATGCAAAAATATAACTTTCGGATAATTTATACATGTCCATCACCTGTTACTAAAGAGTGAATGAGAAACTACTCACTCTTCATGATTTTGGTAAAGTTAGAAAAGTGAGTGATGCTCGTCCCTCCAAGTAGAGGAATTATAAGGTAAAGTACAATAAGGGAGGAGCCGATCTTCGATAAAGAATGAGTGAATCACGTTCTACCCTTTACGACTTTGGTAAAACTCTAGAAAAGTGGAAGAGTTTCACTCCTCTAAGGGAAGAATGAAGCTCAAGCAATGGAAGTGAAAGACAATTAATAAAAGTAGAAGAAAGCTAGTCACTTTTGGAGGGTTTCCACTGCAACCAAAAGGTGATCTACCTTACTTTTTGCAAGTAATTGAAAGCCTAAATCTAAGACTAATTCTATAACAAGCTAAGAAATGTTGGTCTAGTGCCAATTCAACTCCCTTTTGAAGCTCCACAAGGGGAGTATTTATGAGCAAGGAGGAGGGGACAAAAGGGTGTGAAAGAATAGTGTCGGGCCTTGAAAGTCCTACTGAAAGCCATCCACTCTGCAGCCAGTCTTGGGACAACGTTCGAACGTTGTCTGGCGTTCGAACGTTGTTACTGTCTTTGCTTGATGGGCGTTCGAACGTGGAGATTCAGTCTGAATTCCCCATTCAAGTGGCCTATGTTCTTTTGGAGATCTACTTTCATACGCCTTGAACTACTGTCCTTGCACTCATTAGCCTGGTCCTCAATAGTGGAGGAGAACGTTCGAACGTGATACTCAAGTACCTCAATGTTTTCCTTCTTAACTGCAACACGCCATGTCTCAACATTATGATATTCAAATAATTCAAGGGAACGTTCGAACATGAGTTGGCGTTCGAACGTTCTTACTTTGATCCAAACTTTTTCAATTTTGTCCCCCAATATGCTGGTGTTACATTCAAGTCTGATATTTGTTGCCCTTGAACCCTTGTTCACTTTAGGACCTGAAATGTCATCATTTAAACTCTATCAAACTATAATTAGTCTTAAAAAGGCATAGTGATATGCTAATTTTAACTACTAATTATCCACATTCAGATGGTTTCTTCATAAATTTTGTTGTGCCGTTTTTGACACTATTTCCTTTGAGGGGCTAGAGGCCCTCTGTTTAACTCAGGAATCCTTCATTCATTGACATCTTTCATGAAGTTGTCTTCTATTATCTTCTCTAGATGAGTGTTCACTCATATAAGGAGAATTTTGTTTCAAATTCGCACTTAGAGTCCCTTGTTGATCTTTCTTCTTATCCTCTTTGCTTCCCTTATTAGGCTGGGTGCATCAAGCTCTTCTGTTAAAATAGAGTTGATTGGCCAAGGATTAGTAGATGAGCATTCTTCTCCTTTTATGTACATGGAAGGGTCTTCTCACACCTTTTTCTTTACCGGTTAAATTTCGTTTTCTTTCCATTTGTCTATCTTTATCTTGCTTGGCATCCTCCTTTTTCTTCCGTGCTTTAGAAGGAGGGGGCTTTGAGGAGACAAGACATAAAGGGCAGTGGCCAAAGAGCTTGCATTTGTCGCACTTCTGAGGTTTCCATGGATCAACCACTTAATTATATTCAAGTTTGATTTTGAAGGACTGACTGTAAGGCTTTGGTTGTTTAAATTTGAATGCATCTCCTAGCATAGCTAAGTCTTCTCTTTGATTGAGTAGGAGCATCGGGGTACAAAGGTGTTCTTAATACACTTCCCAAGTAGCTAAGAATTCATGCCAAGTTCAGCTTTATCCAAAATGCCTTCAAGCTTATCATAAGGTTCATGTGAATCTGCTACCTTAAGCTCATTAGATGGAGAAACTTGAAGTTCACCCTCAAGGAAAGCTTCCTAGATTCCTCCATTGTGGGGGTTTTCTTAGTCTTAGATTTCTTGGCCATATTTTTGAAGATGCTTCTCTAGAGAGATTTCTAGAGACAAAATTAGAGAAAGAAACCATACTTGTTTTGTGGTTGACGACTCATGGTTTTGTCAACTTGTCATCTTTAGAATTTCATATCGGTCACTTAAATTGGAATCTTCCTTGCTTTAGGTTGCACGTCCACACACACAAACATTAACCAATTCTCTCTATGACATTTTAATAGTTAAAACATTGCATCTAGTTAAAATAATTCTCTACTACCTCACATTTCAGTAAATGCTGTGCATTCTTTTGCCTTTTTTCCCCTTTCAAAATTAACCAACATTACTATTAATCCCTTTTCTTTGTGACTTATCCTAATTGTGATCCTTTTCATATATCTTCTCATCACTGTACGAGATTATGTCATTCATTAATTCTTGCTTTAAATTATCTGACTGTTCCCAACAGGGGAAAGTGCCACTTATAACTGTTGATGGACTGCATCAGTTACACATCCTCATATTCTTCTTAGCTGTCTTTCATGTGGTATACAGTGCTGTTACTATGGCGCTTGGGAGACTAAAGGTAGATTGAAATGTTGTATGCTTTTTATATTTGTTGCTATAGTTGAACTGCTATACCATTGCCATCTATACAAGGGTGGTCCAGTGTAAGAAAGTGAGCTATATTTTGACATTCTCATCTCATTGAAATGGATTAGTTTGTTGATGTTGAGCCTTGAAAAGAATTTAGTTCATCAATGCCATCTTAATTTCTTACAAGTAATATAAAAATTCTTTATGATGTGATCTCCAATAAAATGAGAAGGGAAATGCCTGCCAAAGTAATATTCGGTAAAAGTCAGATTAGCAGATTCGTGGTATCGGGTGTGGATTGAAAAATTAATGATTCTCAAACTAAGCTTGTGCTTCACTCATTGTTTTGTGAATAAATCCGAGCAAACTTTCAATTTTGGTGCTTCCGTCTTGAAATTGAGTAGAACTCAGCTTTGTATAAGAAGGTTGTACACCGGTATACACAAAACCATTTTCAATAGACAAAACAGGAACTTGGCTTGAAAAATCAATGAGAGCCAAGTTAAGTTTGACTTCAACTATTTGATTTCATGAGTGATCCAAACAAGCATTTATTTGATCTAGTCTTAATCCCAACTTGAATTGTACTTAGGTTAATTTTGTAGTCTTAGAGTGTCCATGAGTCTGTGGATCTCGTATCAGATTTGATTCAAAAAGCTAAACAAGATACAGAATTGGTCTCAAGTGAATATGTTCCTAGGCATAGAGCAAAGAATATTCATAGTGAGATGGATTGAATCAACAATTATATATGTTTGCTAAAAACCACAAGCCTGTAATGTCTTTGGATGGCCTGAACCAAATCCAAGTGCTAAAGGAGTATCAGTATGTTATCTCTATCCATCCTGAGGTGAACACATCTGCTGACAGGGGTTTGGACACATATTGTTTTTTAGGTTGTAATAACTACTCCAAGTGCCAGACTTGGTCTACCTTCTGTATTTAATGATTGTCTGATGAAAGTGATGTTATGTAGATTCGTGGCTGGAAGCAGTGGGAGAAGGAGGTTTCGTCCCATGACTATGAGTTTTCCAATGGTATATCATTGCACAATGTGAAGAAAACTTATCCTTTAATTTCTAGGTTGAATTTAGTCAGCTATTCTCACTCCTGAAGTTAGTCTTCTCAATGAATTTATCTTTTGCCATAATGCGGACATGCAGATCCTTCAAGATTCAGGCTTACGCATGAGACATCGTTTGTGCGCGCACATACTAGTTTTTGGACCAAGATACCATTCTTCTTTTACATTGTAAGATATATTTCTCTGGTTGATCATTATCATTTTTATTATCTTTTTTACGTAACTTTGTATAGTTCTTTGGTAAGGTGCAAGCAAGGATCAAAATGTCGTGTCGACACGTCCGAAACGTCCGAAACGTTTCGGAATTTCAACACTCCGAAACGAAACAGTAGTTGAATCACAAAATTCCAGTGTTTCGGTCGAAACGGCACTGTTTCGGACCGTTTCGGTCGAAACAGTACTGTTTCGACAAAACAATGATATATTCGGTTCACTATGAATAATTACATTTAATACCCACGGTAATTACATTTAATACCCACTATAATTATATTTAAAACTCCATTATAATTACATTTAATTCTCACTGCTCTTCTGTCTTTTATAATTTTTTTGTTATAAGAATAAATAATTACATTTAATACCTTACTGTAATTATATTTAATACCCCACTGCTGTGCAAGTCTTTTGCTTTTTTTTTTTTGGTTATAAGTATTAACAATTACATTTAATACCCATTGTAATTACATTNCAATTACATTTATATAAGTATTAACAATTACATTTAATACCCATTGTAATTACATTTAATACTCACTCAATTACATTTAATTTTTAAGTATACATAAGTATCATTAATTTAATTTGATACCCTTCATTATTAGTATTATAATAAAATAGTATTATTAATTGGATTATATTACCGTAATAATATGATTTGGAGTAACTATTGTCATCATATTTATGTCACATATGGAGTTTCTCTAAGTAGCTACCCAGAGCCTACACCGATGTATGAGCCTGCTCGACACTCTACAGGGGGATGGATGTAACCATGTAAGTATGTACTCATTAGCATTTCATGTGTATTATAAGACCTTAATATTATGTAAAAATGTGTTTATTTCATAAAAATTAAGTGTTTGAAACTAATTTAAGTGACTTTCGCCTCATGTCAAGTCTTTTTTTCCCTCAAATTTAAATTTATTCTTGTATAAATAGATGTTAACCCAATAAATATGTTGAATTAATCAATTATTTAGCATATCTTTATAAATTAATGGATTTTATTTGTGTTTCTATGCGTTTCCATATTTTTTCTGCGTTTCCATTGCGTTTTCGAAACGTTTCCGAAACGTTTTCATTTTTGAGCTGACCGAAACGGTACTTCGAAACGAAATTTCGATCCTTGGGTGCAAGTACAAATAACTGGATACTGAGGACTGGGTGTGCAATCCAAGTCTTATAATAGCTAGGGCTTCGTTGACTGCTTTTTATAGGATACAGTAAATCTTATTTGTCCAGCATCATGTAAGATTGTCAAAATATTTCCTTCTTGCAGGGATGCTTCTTTCGACAATTTTTCAGGTCTGTTAGTAGATCTGACTACTTGACCTTGCGGAATGGATTCATCTCTGTGAGTCTCTTTTTTCACATATTATATATTCTATTTTTTTATTCTCTTTTTCCTTTTATTTTATCCCACTTTTTTAATTAAGCGGTTCTGTAGGTCCATTTGGCCCCTGGAAGTAAATTTAACTTCCAAAAATATATCAAGAGGTCATTAGAGGATGACTTCAAGACAGTTGTGGGGGTCAGGTAATAGTCTTTTTATTGGATATGTTGTTGATTTTTATTCAACAATTTTATAAAGGTTTTTATTTTGTTGGCAGTCCGGTGTTATGGGCATCGTTTGTGGTTTTCTTGCTTCTAAATGTTAGTGGTGCGTCACTTGTTCATAATAATTTTCCACTTCCAATAGAATCTTGAATTGCTATTGTTCATCAAAAGCATTAAATATCTTTCAGGGTGGCGGGCATTGTTTTGGGCATCCTTAATTCCTCCGACTGTAAGGATCCTTTCTTGGTTGTGTAATTATGTGTTAGTGGGCAACATAAATCCTTATTTTCACTTGTCCTCAGATAATCTTAGCTGTTGGAACAAAGCTTCAAGCTGTTTTGACGAGGATGGCTCTTGACATCACAGAAAGACATGCAGTGGTCCAAGGAATGCCTCTTGTGCAAGGCTCAGACAAATACTTTTGGTTTGGTCAGCCTCAGTTAGTTCTTCATCTTATCCACTTTGCACTATTTCAGGTATTACATGTCCTCCATCTTCAAGAACTATCAATTAAAAAATAACATAAATTTAAATCTAGATACATAGTATATCACTTGGGCGTCAAGGGTTTGAGTTGCCTGAGGGTCAGCTTTGGCATAGCAATAAGGTTGCTTGCTCTATTGTGAACTGGGCGTCAAGGGTTCAAGTTGCAAGTTTGCGTATGACCCTCCCTGGACTCTACAATGACAGGAGTCTCATGCATTGGCCGCCCTTTTTTTAATTCATAGTATATTATATCACCATGATTGAACTTTTCAAGTTCAGTGTTCCTGCCCAGTTCCCTAAATTTATTAAAATTGTGTAGATACTGGAGGTTAGAGTTAGTTCTCCTTTTATTGCCAGTGAGTTGGGAAGTGCCCAAGACGAGTGGGTTGATTAATCGTGAGAACTACCTTAGAGCACACTTTAAAGCCCACACAAATCTGCTGCAGTGCTGTAGAGCATCTGATTCAGATTGGGATCCGTTTTGGTGGGCAAATGTCATTATACTAATTTATTAAATTCATATAATTTACGTTGCCTTTTTTTTTTAAAGTCCCTGAATATTTGGGCATTCGGTTTAATGGAGGGACTACTTGTCTATAGGTGGCAGCCTGACACATCTGCTTGAATGTTCATGTGGGATTCACATTCCACTGTGCAGTTAATCCTGATTCAAAGGCGCCAATTATAGAATATGCTCCCTTACTTATCAGTCTACTAACAATTTGCAGTCTGTATTTATTTTGCTTTATCTTTTTTCGGTTTTTTGTTCTGTTCTTTCCTAAACAGCTTTTTGGTGCTTACAGAATGCATTCCAACTAACATACTTTTTGTGGATATGGGTAATGAACTCTTTACAATATAAAGCAATCGAAATATTATTTTTAAAGTTACTATTTAACAATTCTTAACATTTAGAGAAAAATGACCAATTTTATGTTACCGTGCAGTATGAGTTTGGGCTGAAATCTTGCTTCCATGATAATTTCAACCTTGTAATTGCGAAAATTGCTCTAGGGTATGCCCTTTTAGTTCTACAATTCTCAATGGAAATACTCAGAAGATGTAGACATGAACTAAATTGAGTGAATTTCTGTTTGATTGCACAGGGGAGGAGTCCTATTTTTATGCAGCTACATTACACTACCACTGTATTCCCTTATAGCCCAGGTACAATCACCGTTGCATGCTCCTTCTACTTAATCTGAGGAATTTGGAAGCTAATATTGAATTTCCCTTGGACAACTGATTCCAAGAATATTTAATTCTCTGTATATCAGATGCTGCATTGTCCTGCATTCAGGAACCGAGCAGTTTTGGGTAGAACAAATGGACCAAATATCTATAACGATGTTAACGTTGCAGAAAAGTGTTTAGTGTTTCTTGATTATTATCCCATGAATGTTAAAAACACGTTAAAAGAATTAGTATTGTTGGAGCTGTTTGCGTCTAATACTTAATTTACTTGGCTGATTGTTGTCATGTTGGAAATTTGCAGATGGGTTCACACATGAAGAAATCTATCTTTGATGAACAAACATCCAAGGCCCTTAAGAAGTGGCGTATGGCTGTGAAGAAGAAAAAAGGAGGAAGGGCAGGAAAGTCCCCTACTCGAACTCTGGGTAAAGGAAGCCCTGATGTTTCTTTGACTTCAACTGTGAACTCCTCTGGAGCTACACTTCATCGCTTCAAGACCACTGGTCACTCAACTCGTTCGTATACCTATGAGGACCATGAAACATCTGATTTTGAAGCAGATCCATCATCTCCCATATCATCAACAACCAGTTTGATGATACGAGTTGATCATGATGATTCAGAGACTGAGACAAGTGTACCCCATCCTGGGGGAGAAACCAGGAATGAAGAGGACTTCTCATTTGTGAAGCTTGCTCCACTGAAGTGAGGATGATAGTGGTAATGAATGTAAAGTAGGCTGTGATTGTACGATTCCCACTCCCCTTTTCCAATGTATTACGAGGAAATTGCATAATTATTGTCATGCTGTTTGGTTAAATGTAACTGTGTATCTCTTAGATTTGGCCTCCTTTTCATTGATTGAAGTTTTTAAGTCCACAATTTTGCCTACAGTCGTTGTGGCAATAGTAATAGATAACTTCTAATTTTTTGCTTTTTTTAATTTGAAGCTCGAACTTAGGTTGAAAATTTAGTAAAGGTTACCATTTCCAATCGGACCAGCCTTTAGCTTTAGATAGCTTTTAATGTGTAGGCACTGTGCGCACATTAAAGCAGAGAATTTGAAAAGTGGATAACCCTGTTACAAGGCATCTGGGACTAAAATTTTGGATTGTTCCTCGCCTCATGGATTAAGAACCCTATTTTGGCTTCTAGTTTTGTTGCCTTTTCTTCACCCCAATGCAATGGCCTACTTGGTTGAAGAAGTTGACAATAAAGAGGTGATGGCTTTATAGAGGAGGGTAGCTAAGGGTGTGGATGAAAAATGAGAGATAGACAGGTCACTTCACCTTAGGATACATCCAACGATGCACAAGAATCAGATTCCGACCAACTCTGAAACTCCAGAGAACCAAACAAAACCTGCCTTTCCTCTCTTTAAGTACGGTTACAATTTTGGCTGATGAAAAAAGAAAAAAACAAAAACCGCACCCTTCAAATCACTATGAGCTATCAGTGCCTGCAATTCCTAACTTCTAATGTCTGCATTTTACTGTGGAAGATAAACAAGAAATCAAAATTATAAGAAATGTGATTGCCTCAAAAAAGTGGATAATTACTGTTTTAATTCTGTATTAGTGCAAGCCAGCCATTTTTCCATATGGAGGTCGAATAACAGGAGGTCCAATGCCAGTCTAACTTAAGAGAGAAGATGTTCCAGTTTTTGTCTCAATGAAAAAGTTCTCAAGATGTGCTATTGACCGATTGGCCTGTAGCAAAAACATTGACGATCAAGCTCTTAAGTTGAGAAAATCTTACTCAGTTTTGCTTGACATTACTTACAACAAATGACTGCTCTTTGGTTCCAACCTATGAGCTCATTGACTCTTGATCACTAATATCTAGATGGTTAGCTACTTTGTTTGAGTACCTTTCTTGAGTTGTTGATTGTTAAATACAAATGTCTCTATTATCTAAAATACATAATGCGATTAGATATCAGATTTGGAGCAGTTAAAAGTATTCATATGTCCAAGCAAATACATTCAAAGTTCGAGTCCAAAACTAAAACATCTTCCAAAATAGAGATTGGTTTGCTTATCATTTACTTGTGAATTGGGATTTTAATATCTTAGAGACACATGCTAGACCTACTGGTAACAAATCAAAGGAATGACTTAATATGCTGAATTGAAAAAGGGTATATGCTTTCTCACATAACCGAAGCCTCTAAATTTTTACATCTGGGGCTTTGGATACTGCATGGAACTGAAAATATTAAGTGGTTGCAAGAGATATTTTTAAATGGTGTAACTTCAAAAACTTCAAATTGATAAAGAATCAACTCAGAAGATATAAAAGGATGGCCTACTTGACAGAGGCTTCACATGTCCTGGTATGGTCAATCATATGAAAGCTAAAAAAGAGAGAATTAGCTCCATGCTAAAACAAAATCCAAAATTTTTACGAAAAATTGTCAAGGGGTACACCATATAATGTTTATTTATCTTAAAGTACGTAGATCATACTATTAAGTCATTGGGTGGGGCTACTTCTACCCCTTAAATCACCTTTCTCACCCATTTAATCCTCTTATTTCAAACTACTAAATCTATCTCATCTATACTTACCCCATTAATGATTAAGTTCACTTTATTTTGTACCTATCCAATTAAAATATTAAATATATAACAAAGAAATCAAAACAAAAATAGTAATTGAAGCAAAAATGTCAATGTTCTATAATGATCTAGAATATTTTGATGTGTTTTGAGATATTTTGACATATTTTTACCAATGTCTTCGAAATTGTTTGAGGTGCTTTTAAGATATTTTAGTATATTTTGACTAATATTTTAAAAATAAATTATTTATTTTTATTCTATTCCTAAAATATTTTTGTACTGAAATAATATATCGAAATAAAATTTTGATCATTACCTTTATAGTAGGTTGAAATAAAATTGAATAAATTTAGTTTTTAATTAATGAATATTGACAAGGTGGATTTAGTAATTGATGTGGTGGATATAGATGGGAGGAACTTAGTAGTTTGAAGATGATTATATGAGGTGGGAAATGAGATTTAAGGGTTGGGAATAGCCCAACCCTAAGTCATTTAGTCTTCATATTCCTAAATATATTGTGTCTAGGTACATATTTTGAGTTTTTAAAATTTTTATTTGAGTAATTATCCTCTACATAAATCATGCATATCAGATTTGACAGTTTTTTTTAGGAATTGAATTTTTTACATTATATTAAATATTTCTTAATTTTATGGATGAATTGTATTATCAGTATCTTTGTCATCAAAAGTATCTTCTTTTTACCATAAGCCATTTTGAATTTTGAATTATGTTCTCAGTATCTTTACCATCAAACATATCTTCTTTCTTCTATTAGTCATTAGCGTTTTTATTTTTCTACAATACGTCATTGACCTGATTATATTTTCAAGAACTTCAACAACTAATCTGTACTAGTTAACGTTAAGGTCAAACTGCAAATCATATGAGGTTCGAAATTATACTTTCATTCATTTTTTACATAATATCGGTGCTAGTTTAATTTACGTATTACGTATCTTTGAAATTATGCTTTCGTTATGACATGGTTTAATTTTTTTATATGATAATATGTTATGTATAATTATTTTTTGGAAATTGTTTCTTGGTTAATTTTTTCGGTTCTACATTTTGTTTCAAGTGATTTTTTGAGTGGTCAAGTTTTTGGTTTCATTTTTTTGATCATACTGTTGTTAGTTAATGTAACATTATTGTATTTATGTAATTTTTTTGTCACAGTTTCGTAATTGAATTGAATATTTTTGTGCATTTTATCAATTTATAATTATATGATGTACATAATTCACATTTAGATACTGTCTGAATTTGTTTTGATAATGAAAACTTTTATGTAGATACGATACTGAGACATCATATTCTGAAACAATGATGTCATACTCTGTTGTCACACTATTAAGACAAAAGAATGTGTGTGTAATTGTGGTGTTCAAGCTGCTTAGTAAATATAGTACCAAAAAAAAAAAAACAAGCTGCTTAGTTAATGGTGTCACACTCCGTGGTCACACTATTAAACCAAATGAGTGTGTGTGCGTAATTGTAGTATCCAAGCCACTACACTAATGATTTCTTTGCATCTAGAAAAATTAACCAAAACCCCTTGTCATACTATAAATTCATATGCCAAAATAAGAAAAAACTGTGATAACAAAGGGTTCCTTAAGCAAAACAACATTCTATGAAAACAAAGTGTGTCAACAAAGTGTTCATTGAAAGTGTGATTATAAAATTGACTTCATATATAATGGATAGGTATTGCGACTCCAAAGTAAAAGAAAAACCACATCTCAAACACTTTGATTGTTCCTTTCACATAGAAAGCTTGACACCATAGTGTGCCTTCAATTTGACTGATAAAAAAAATGACTTCATAGAGTGATTTAATAAAACTAACCCATCAATTAATGTCTTAAGAAAGCAGCACTTACCCACAAACATGCCAATTGAAAGAGTTATTTAAAAAAAAAAACACTTCTCAAACATTGTGGTTGTTCCCTTCATATGGAGTAAACAGTGTGACTCTATAGTGATACTTCACTTCATAGACAATGTGACTTCACAGAGTAACTTCATAGTATTATTTTTCTCTAAAACTCCTAAATTTTAAGTTTTTCTCATATTATACAATAAGTGCAAATAGAGGACATGGTAGGGGAACTAATTCCCAATCCAAAGCAATGGGATATATTGGGTTTGATGTACTTGTTCCTCTTCATAATATACCATTTTCACCGCTACCAACAACACAATTAGCTCAGAGACATTATTCTCACAGAACCAAAGCTAATAAAAAATTATTTTAAAAATCTCAATCGTGATGTTGTTTTATACTTGAAAAAATCACAAGATCAATGGATGAAAAAAATCATTTTTATTAACTAAAACATATTTTCGAATATGAACACTGTAAAACCTGAGTAAATTTGAACTTTTTATGAAAAAGGGCAAAATAGTAATTTGTCACTATAGTCCAGGTTGAAAACCTGTATTTTTCTAGATCTCGGATGACAAAAAAAACTTCACCGTTGGATTCGTCTCGTGAAACTTAGTTATCTAGACAATTTTTGTCGAATTTTGAGATAGTCAGATTTTTCACGTTTTACGAGATAACTAGGTGTCGGATGACCTCACAAATGTCCCCAAAAAAATAAATTTTATAAAATTTTCTTATAATTTAATCTAAGTTCAAAATGTGACACCCCTAAAACCGGGGGTTCTTTGTCAACTGTTGACCATTCGTCAACCTACGGAAATATTTATGATTGTTGCCCAATCTAACATCACGTCAAGAGAATTCCTTTAACTGGGGTTGTTACCCACGCGTATAACACATGCATATTTTGTCATTTGACCCAACCGGGTCCAAAATATCACAATTTATTTTTATTTTATGTCCATTTATATCCTTGGAACCAAAGAACTCACAGTCCAAAAGTATGACAAAATAATTTTTAAAATTTCAAATTTTTAGAAGGCCTACCGGTAGGGCATATCGGTAGGGTGAGCTTACTGGAAAATTCCTATCGATAGGGTTTGCCTACTAAAAAATATATACCGGTAGGGTTTGCCTAGTAGAAAATCTCTATCGGTAGGGTTTGCTTATTGGACCTCGTCCTACCGGTACGCCATATCGGTATGCTTTGCTGACTTTTGCCTGTTTTGCATTTCAAACTCATTTCAATCCTTTCCACCACCATCCAAAACATGCTTAATAAGGTTTTTCACATAAAAACTAATATATGCAAGTTCTATTATAGCAATTGCATACGATTACATACCCAAAACATAAATTTTTACATTGTTTTACAAAATATGGAGTAAAGGCCACAAGTCGGCCTCTCTTCATCCTCGAGG